GATTTCATGGATGACAGATGAAGATACAGCATGTTTGAGTTTAATTTGTGGCCCTTTAAGTCAAAAACTCCCTGGGGATAAAATGCTGCCCGGATGCTAAATGGATGCAACCTGCAGAAAGCAGACGCGCCTCTTCCAGCTCATTTAAACCCATCTGATGATCCGCCCTTCGTGTTGATCCTCAGAGGACAAACATTAGTTAACCCCTGAGCKGTGAGGAACGGCTCCGGCCCGGGGGGAGCGGGGCTCATCGCCTCTGTGTGGGCGCCTGCTGGGACTCTGCCGCCCGCTGCTGCGTTGATTTACTCGCTGACAGCAGAACTGATGAGGGATGGAGCTGGCCACGGTCCAACAGAGGCAGACTGGACGAGGGGAGGACCGGGGGGAGGCTAAGCGCTGTAGGTGCGGGGCGATGGTGGGCTTCTGCGTGAGGCGACCCTCCCTCGTTGCTGGTCTGAGCTGCAGGGACCTGCAGCGCACTTGTTAAGCCGTTGACCTTTAAGACACACTTGTCGTCTAATATGTTTCACATGTGGAGAGATTGATCCGATCTGGTCGGCGAGTTTAAAGAGTCGCACCGACAGGCTGGCAGGGCTGCGAAGGAACATTCTGGACAACGTTTTCGTCCACGCCCGCCATGTAAGAAAAATATCTCATGAACCACTTCACRGATTTTAATGAAACTTTTCGAGTAATTATCAGACGTACACCTACAGCTGATTAACATTCAGATTTCACTCAAAGATGGCCACTGCAGCCAAATGATGTTGGAAAAAGCAGAGAATGACCTGAATACTGATGTGACTGAAGCTGAAAGTCCTGCCTGACATGTTTTAAGCACTAACGGGTGCAGCGAAATCTGTTTTTAAACCTCTGCTGTTGAACTACTGGAGTCTGTTAGCAAAAAGTCTCATGAAACAGGACAGATTTTAGTGAAGCTCACAGAAAATAAATGACCTACAACTAGGGCTGCCACAAACGATTATTTTAATAATCGATTAGTCATCGATTAATCGATTAATCGTGGCAGCCCTACCTACAACCGATTCATTTCTGGACAAGCCCTGTCCAATATGGCCGCCTCAGCTAATCCACATTAGCCAACATAAAACAGGCTTGAAACTTAATTAATTTTACAGCTGCTGACTACGGCTGCACAACATTAGAGAAAACTGACCCTATAAAATTGACTCCATATTGTGATGTGAAAAAATACAGGAATTTTCAACACATRACTTTAAGAACACTTTGAGTTCTGCTGCCATTTTGTTGACGATGAACCTGCACCGATTTGGCCTGTTTTGTGCATGCTGCAAGTGTGTGATTTGTGTTATCTTTTATTGTGCTGGAACCTGACTGCATGTTTCTTTCTATCATGTGAAAATGTTAAATGTATTTTACCACCTGCCGTGCTGCCTCTGTGACAATTTCAGTATCTGTCACTCTTTAATATTAGCATTCATGCTAACCGTATTTTACATCTTTTCCTCCAAATCTTCTCCACTCCTCAGAAAAACGTTGTCACTGTTGTCCCAGAAGTTTCGCAACAATTTTTTTCAAAGCTTTAGCATTTTAGACAAGAAGTCACCCTGTCAAAGTAAAAGCTGTTACACTTTACCGTTTAGCAATGACTTCTTTTTTATACGTTGAATTTGCCTCCTTCAGTGTGACTACTGCGCACTATGGCTGTGCATAAGATTTATACACGTTAGGGATGGGTACAAAAACTGATTTATTCAATCTTAGATCAATTTTGTTAAAATTTGGGAATATTGATTCATATGGCATGACATTAATCTTAGCAGTCCTGTGCGTGGTGAAGCAGAGGCATGTTTTGTGTCACTTCTGGTTTACAATATTGGCTTCTGACAACAAGTTGGAATCACTTATGTTACCAGTCAATAAAGATAAGAGAGGCCATGATATCTTTTATTTGCAAAGATTTACGGCCACACTCGGTGATAGAAAACAGATTTTGAGCGGCTCGTTCAGGTGCTCCAACCAAACTGTCATCATCTGACTGATGTATAAATGTGTGAAAGACGACATCCTAATGAAATCGTTTTAGGGGTGCACGATGTTTATTGGCCTAATATCAGGGAATTATGACGTCATACTTATAGGTCCGATATCATAACAAACAGAACCGATAATATATGTTTGCCAGCGCAGTGATGAGAATGCGTGTTTATTTTTATCCTTTTTGTTCAAGCCACTTCCTGTCCGGCACGACCCAAGCAACGTTCAAGTTGCATCTGAAAAAACTACTTTCTCACTATAACAATAATTAGAATACTCCGTGCTGCAACCAGTCATTTTAAGAATTATTAATATTATTTTACCAATTAACCATGTATGTTACACACAAACTTTATAATTATAAACATTAGGGGTGTAAGAAAATATCGATACACTGAAATATCGCAACATTTCATTTCCCAATACTGTATCGATATTCTAAAGCCCTGTATC